GATGATCAATGGGCACGCGCCAATGTCAGGACCAGGCAGCCAAGCTCTTTGGGGCTTATGGCTGTGAGTCTTAAGTACTTGGGAGTTTCGGAAGCACTCCCCCAGTACCTTCTATGATCTTGTATTGCTTGTATGGAGGGGTTGTTTCCATTAGGGTTTATCCAGTAGTGCCCTTTCATGTTGGGGTGTCGATATTAAAATTGAACCATACGAAAAACCCATCCCTATTTTTTGCGAGATACTAGGGAACCTACTACTACGGCCTGTGGAGGGCACATGAAATCGACAGCCCTTGCTTGTTCTAGTTGCCCTGCAAGCTTATTTCGCCTGGCCATCGTTCCAGGTGGCTCTTAGGTACACACCAGCTGGCAAACAGGGCATAGCTCGCGCTCAATTTGGTTCAGCTGTGCTGAAACCATGCCTGATTGCTGAACCCCTATAGGAACACACAACTGCGAACCAATGCAAAGAGTTCGAACCAAGTTCCTGATGTCCATCGGTTCGCGAGCATGTAGAGAATGTAAGGTGCACTCAGCAAGTGACATATCCCGAGCCACTTCTACTGATCTATCCAAGGCCTCAGACCCCCAATCCCCAAACCACCGATTTCGGAGTGGAAGCACGGACGTAGCTGGTGTCACAAAAGCCCACACCCGACAAGCCTGGAGCCCTAGCCGGAAAACTCCAAGCCCAAATCCTTAAAACCCGAGCAAGTCAAGTCTCAGTTTGGCCCGGAGGGTTTGGGGCTCAGGATTTGTGGTTTAGCTCCTCTCCGCATTACATCTGTTCGGACTTTATAGAGATGTCAGGCAGGTTCCATCACGGTTCTACCTGGGATGATGTAGGAGCTAGAATAGAGTTTCTACAAGGCTTCTTGGATGCAAGTGCTCTGTAAGGGTCGTAGAAGTGTTACGTTAGGTTTCATAGGTGGGCAAAGTGTTTGGCGTATGAGGTTTAGAGTTGTTCTTTGTCGTGTAAGGGTTTTGCACGTGTTGCTGGTTCCGACACCCATGTCTGTGTCCCCAAGATGACAATGATTCAGGCATGCTCCTTTCCAGTCGAGGCATTGGAAACGGCTTCGCACCGGCTGGCACCGGTTTTGCACAACCCACCACATCTACATGGCCGGGAGGTCACTTGGAAACTTGAGTTTTGTCTGGGTTCTGGAGTACCATACCTGAGTTTACCGTTTTGGATCTGTGCCGTAAAGGTACCATTATGAAAATCGAGTGTTTTGGCTCTTAGTCTTAGTTACCCAAAGACCCAGTGAAAGTTGTTGCATCGGGTGCTGGTATTAAAACTGAACAGTAGGTAGGGAAACCTCCCCGTCTTTTTGCGCGATACTCGGGAGCCTCCTACGGCCTGTGGAGGGCACATGACGTTGAGAGTCTTGCTTTGTCTAGCTGCCCTGCAAGCTGATCTCGGCTGGCCAGCTGGTAAACAGAAAACATGCCTGAGTGCTGAAGCCCTAGAGGAACACGAAACTGCGAACCAATGTAAAGAGCTGATGTCCATCCGTTCGCGAGCATGTAGAGAATGTAAGGTGCACTCAGCAAGTAACATATCCCGAACCGCTTCTACTGATCTATCCAATGCCTCAGACCCCCGTCCCTGAACCACCGATGTCGGATTGGACTTGATCTAAACCCTAAACCCTAAACCCCTAAACCAGTAAGAAATACGAGTTCATATGTTTGTCTCCCGTGCTTACTTCGCCCAGTGCAGGAGTCTACGAAGTAATTTCGTTGTTGTTGTTGTTGTTGTTGTTGCTGCTGCTGTTGCTGCTGCTGTTGCTGTTGCTGTTGCTGTTGCTGTTGTTGTTTTTGTTGTTGTTGTTGTTGTTGTTGTCGTGGGTGGTGGTGGTGTTGCTGCTGCTGCTGTTGTTGTCATTGTCGTTGTCGTTGTTGGTGATGGTGGTAATGGTGTTTTGTTTCTGTTGCTGTTGCTGTTGCTATGTTTGTTGTTGTTGTTGTTGTTGTTGTTGTTGTTGTTGTTGTTGTAACCTTCACACACCATGATAATCATCAGACACCAACGGTTCTCATTTTCCACTAACTACGCCATCCTGTTCGTACGCATCGTCAATACTGCCATCACAACTGTCCCTGGCCATCGGCACCTCTAAGCATCAATCTGACTGTCATCCGCACTGTCCCCGAAACCCTTACCCCGTATCAGAAGCACCACTATACCACTCCCACGTATTCGCCACTCCCATCAGTATGACCGCGAGAAGAGCCTTGTCGGACGCCATGGCTACTAGGGAAGACGCGGAGATATAATGTAAAACTATGGCAACTTCGAGCCGCATGTCCCGCAAGCCACGGTCCAGGTAGGAGGGTTCAGGCAGGGTTCACTGCTGTCTTGATAGTCGCCGCTCATCCAGCAAGATCAATGGTGATCGGACCCGAGCATGCCTGAACAAGCCATCCTGTTCTTGTCCAAATTAAGGTGCCGTCTTGTATCGCGGGCCTCAGCCACGCTTCGTATACTTAGCAACATGAACCTTGTCTGATCGTGTGTTTGCACTTGTATGTCTGTGTTTTGGGGGCCGGGCGGAGTAGAATGTCTAACCCCCGCCGGAAACCCTAAATATGTCTGAGCCTCCAGGCGTTTCTCGAGATGCGTCATGATACGCATAGAAGTACAAAGCTTCGACGCCCATTCCAACGATACTAGTCGAAACCAGCGACAGCAGCAATAATGGTAGAACTGATCACTAAATTCCTCCTGATAGTCGCCATGGAAAACATTCCGTAAGCTACACTAGATGCCAATGCTGACGACATCAACAACAACATTGGCTTTTGGGGTGTAAGCAGTGTAGGGTTCATCCTAATCCCTAAACCTGAACACTCTAATCCCGAAACCCTGTTCTCAAATTTCGTCTGGCGGAGCGCATTCCATCCGGAGGGCTCGAGAAGTCTGCATCTGTCTGATGCGGTAACTAGAACCGACCTGCAAAACATGAGCCCAGATGACCATCAAGAAGAGGGATTTACGGCTTCTTTGCTTCATGGGCTTATCGGCTAGTGGGGTTTACAGAAGGGACCTTGATAGTTGGAACACAGCAACGATGTCAGCAGCAACGGCTAGACATACTCCTGGCCACCACGAAAGATCAGGGCACAGCAGGCGCACTTGGGGTCAAGTGGCATGAAGAACTGAAAGGCGTGCCATCTGCCATCGAATTTCTGAAGCTGTCCAGTGCGGATTGGTGATCAAGAGGGTCCATATACACTACTATTATGGCATTAGGTCCCCAAAGCCATAATAGGGATGGTCCTTTTAAGGCCTAATTCCATAATGGTAGTATATATGGACCCTCTGGGTGACCAGTGACCAGGAAAAGCGCAGGCAGCTTAGACTTAGGATCTTCTCCACTTGGGGATCCAAGTTCGGATTGGATTGGGTGTGAACGCCAAACCCTAAACCCTAAACCCCTAAACCCTAAACCCCTAAACCCAAAACCCCTAAACCCCAAAACCCATAAACCCTAAACCCCTAAACCCGAAGCCCATTCCGCACTGGACTTCTATGGACAAAGAGCGGGTAACTCACTCACTGCAGCGGGCGCCTGTTACATGCAAGCGCCGGCTTCCTGCGATCAAGCGCTTAGAAATTCAAGGTTGCGGGATTTAGGTTTTAGGGGTTTAGGGTTTATAGGGGTTTAGGGTTTAGGGTCGAGGGTTTAGGGGTTTAGGGTATGGGGTTTAGCGTTTAGGGGTTTAGGGGTTAGGGGTTTAGGGTTTAGGGCTTAGTCTCCATTGTAGTCCCTTTCTTGGTTTCACCTTTTTTATGGGATCTTATAAGGGAGCCCCGACAAAGGAAGTACAATGGAGGCTACAGGTAGAAACATTCCTCCGCAATCCATAAGGAACACCTAGCCATTGCAATGGCATGACCTACTATCAGAGCTATCGTATAAACAAGCAACACCATGAAAAGCAGCATCGTCATTTACCATGCTACACCATACCATGCCAGAATAGACTAAAATATACGGCAGCAAACCCTAACGTCATATACCAGACTCCACGATGATATACGAGAACCCACTGAGTAGAATACTATGACAGATTATAAAATACATCACACTACATTCGAATACAATAGATAGATAGATAGATAGATAGATAGATAGAGTGTATTCTAGAAACTATATAAATATATAAAGTGGTGATCTTTCAATGTGCTCGAGTCTTAGTATTAATATACGCAGTAAACCCTGAGCCTGATCCAGTCCTCCAGTCCATGCGGCCTTGAAAGCATCTGGTTCAGATGCTGGCTGCGCCACTGGCGCGCCCTGATCAAAGAAGGTAACTACTGGTGGGCACTTCGACGAAATCGAGGAGGCGACATGGTAATCATTGGTGGGCACTTCGTCGCAATGGAGGAGGGGATAGTTCTCAGATGCTCTTATAGATTCCAGTGTGAATGTGTCGAAGGCTCTTGGTCATGCCTCCAGACGTCAATCGGACGGCTGAAGGAGGCTGCAAGGAGTGGCTATTCTATTCAACTGACAACGACACGACCAAGTCAGGCTATAGAAAATGTAGAGATAGCGTAAAAAGTGTAGAAGACTTAGAACTATCAGTATCACAGCCAGAGTGTGTCAGCTGATCAGCATTGCATGCCTGGCCTTCTCAAAGCCTGGCGGCGGGCTCCAGGCCCTGGTAGGTCTTGTGCGTAAGGTTGTCGATGGGCAGGGGGACGATGTGGTCGGCCA